CGGGCAGCTCCGCAGCGCTCGGCGCCCGCCCGCCGCCCGCCCGGCCCCCGGCTGCCTCCCTTCCTCCCTCCCTCTCTTTCTCCTTTGCGCTCCCTCGCTCGCTAGTCCTCGGCGCATGGGCCCCGCACCGGGCCCCGGGGCCTCGGGCCGCCTGGCCTCCGGGGTCCCCTAGGCCCGGGCGTGGGCGGGGCAGCCCGGCCTGACGCAGCTCTGTACCCCACCACCACCACCACCAGGGCCGGCGGCGGCGGCTGCCCCGAGGGACGGGGCCCTAGGCGGTGGCGATGGGGGCCGTCCGGATCGCGCCCGGCCTGGCGCTCCTGCTCTGCTGCCCGGTGCTCAGCTCCGCATACGCGCTGGTAAGTCCCTCTCCCGCACTCCAGGACAGGCTGCGGGCTTGCTCTGCGGTCCCTGGGGTGGGCCCAGGGCGCAGAGGCTTGGGTTCCCTGAATAATCCGAACTTTGGATGAGCGTCCCCTCCGACCTGAGATCCTGGGTGCCTGCTGTCTTTGGGGTGTCTGGACTCGGTTCCAGATGCCTATGGTCCCCGTATTTCTGAAGCCTGGGTTTGGGGTCCCAGGTCTGGAAATCTGTAGTTGGGGTTCCTCTGTCTTCTGCTACTGTGAGCACCACAGCTCTGGTTATGTCTCCTTCAGGGGTGACAGTGTGATCTAGCAGCAGACTGGGCTTTGGCCCTGATGTAGGGTCCCACAGACTTTGTTCCGGGGCCTCTGTTTTCTGCAAGTTTTGTTTGCAATCCAGGACACGGTCGTGGGTCTGAGGTCAGCATCACCCAGGCAGGGGGTAGGATTTAGGGGTCCCCTCCAGCTCTCACAATCACATGCGTGCACACACACGGACACTCTTGCCCAGAGAGGCGGGTGTGGTGTGGCACAGAGGAAGGATGGAGGTCCCCTGAAGGAGACCGACCTCACAGAACCCTCCTCCAGGAGAAACATGCTGGAGGGGGACTCTGGTGAGTGAGGGACCCCCATGTATACCCTCCTGAGAGCAGAAGCCAAGAGGGCACCAGAGGGAGAAGAATTGGCAGTTTGGGAGATAAGGCAAGAGAGAGAGAGAGAAGAGAGACAAAGGGGCTGGAGATGAGAGCTCCCCAGAGCAGAAGGAGTAGACAGACCAAGAATAGCAGAGAAAAGTAGGGGACTGGCAGTGGCCAAGAGCTGGAGACACGGAGGGGAGCATCGTCCTCCTCCTGGGCCAGAGACTGGGGACCAGGACCTGGGGAGTCAGTCAGATCTCACAGCAGCCCTGTCCTGGGGGACTAGCCCATTGCTGAGGAGGCTGTCTGCCTGTGTGTCTGACTTCAAAGCCCCTGCTGCCTCCCCAGTACCTCCCAGGTGGGGGCATCTGCCTTCTAGAGAAACAAGCAGGCAGGCAGGTAGCCACTTTCTCCTGACCAGCTCCCTACCCAGGCAGAACCTGAGGCGGGAAGGCAGGAGCTCTGGGATGCTTCCAGCTCTGCCTCAGGCCCGTCTGACCTGGGGCTATCCTCCATACCTCAGTTTCCTCATCTGTTAAAAAAAAAAAAAATAGCAAGAAACCTTTGCCTAAGAATCTCCTGATCTGAGTGAGGCTCTCTTCTCCTCTGGGGCCTCAGCATGTCCCATTCCCTGGTGCCCAGGCACTCACGACTCTGGCTCCCCAAAGCCAGAGACCTCACGCCATATGAGGACTTGTAGATGGGGAAGTCGAGGCTCAGAGACTTGTGCAGAGGTACATGCAAGGACCCAGAGCCATTTCCCCACCCTCCCCTTGGGCCAGGCTCACCCTCCCCAGGGTCCCCTCCAGGGTGTGTGCAGAGCCAGCCCGCAGTCTGTGTGCACATCCCTGGGGTAGACAGGACGATGGGTGTGAGTGTGCTGAGAGCCATCTGTTTGCCAGAGCAGGGCTCGCTGGGCCTCTGGGCAGGCTGTTCTCTAGGTCCGTGTGAGCGCGTGTCACCTGTGAACACGTGTGTCCGAAGCGGTGGGTTTGCACATGACTTGCAGGGGCATAGTCGTGCATATATGTGTGTGTGTGTGTGTGCATTTGTGAGCACATGTGCACCCGGGTCTATTGTCTCTTATTTTTATTTAATAAATGCTTTTGTAGCGCTTTCTACTTGCCAGACACTGTCCTAAGCACTTTAGAGTATTAACTAGTTTAATCTTTCCAACAACTCTCTGGAAAGGTTTTGTTATTGTTCCCATTTTTTTTTTTTAAAGATTTTATTTATTTATCTGACAGATAGACAGCGAGAGAGGAAACACAAGCAGGAGGAGTGGGAGAGGGAGAAGCAGGCTTCCCGCTGAGCAGGGAGCCCGATGCGGGGCTCGATCCCATGACCCTGGGATCATGACCTGAGCTGAAGGCAGACGCTTAAGGACTGAGCCACCCAGGCGCCCCTATTGTTCCCATTTTTAAAGTAATCTGAAGCACACAATCAATATGACCATTTTTTATTGCATGCCAATCTAGTGCCAAGCCCTGTGTCTCCAGGGGGAGGGAGTAATGGGTCCCCAGGGCCCCACACTGATTTCTGGGGAAGCTGAGGCACGTGCAGAGAATTTGCCTGGCTTCGCCCTGGTTCAGGTCTGAGGGCAGGGGCAGGAGGAGGGATGCCATGGCTGGGTCTGCCCTGCGACCTTGTTGGGACATCAGTGGCTGGACGCTCAGGCCGTGTGCGCACTGGGATTAGGGCTAGAGGATGTGGCCCAAGGATCACCCAGTACCCTGTAGGCCCCCTGGGCTCAGCTGGAGCCAGCGAGAGACTGACAGCCGGCTAGCTTCCTCTTTTGAACCCAGGGGCTGCCGTTCCCACCCAGATCTGTGCTGACGCCCACTAAGCCCACCAAACTCAGCCGATAGCCCCTGTAACCAAACCTGTGGGCTGCCTGCCCAGCCAGCCCCAGGAGCAGGCTCACACCTCCAGGGACCTCAGGGTTCGGGGACCAAAAAGCGTCCCACTGGGAGGACACCGGCTGTGGCCAGACTCAGCTAGCTGGTCCCTCTTGTCCTTACAGGGAATACTAGCTGTGAGCTGGGGGTCAGGTGGAGTGAATTTTGGAGGAAGGGATGGGCCCACAGATTGTGAGTAGGGGGCAAAGGGGTGGTCTTATCCTTGGGGGTGCCTCATCCTAAGGATGCCCTCAGCATGCACACATGTGAAGGAGAAGCCGCAGTGGGAGAGGCAGCAGGTCAACATGGGGGGCAGGCCTTGAGCGTAGAGATGTGAACTCGGGGTCTGACACAGAAGGGACTGTGGGGGCTGGGAGTATAGGCGACCCCTCCCCTGCTCCAGGACCAGTGTGGCCACAGGCCCTCTTTTAAAGACCAGAGAACCACCATGTATTGAACAATGACTGTCCTCCGATTCTGAGCTAGAAACCATCACAAATGTTTTCTCAGTCTGTCCTTTCACCCACCCATTTTATGGGAAAGAGCCCTGGGGTTCAGGCAGTGAGTCTGTGGTAGAGATGGGACTTGAACCCAGGTCTTCAGACTCTTGCACTGAGCTTCTTCCTCCAAAGCAAGGTGACGGATCGTGCTGACCAGAGATCCCCATGTCCCACTGTGGGTTTTTAAATTCTTCTTCCTTTTTTTTTTTTCTTTGTTTGTTCCTTTGTCTCTTTCTTTCTTTGTTTTCTTTCTTTCTTTCATAAAATCCTTCTGTTATTTTACTTTTATTTTCTTTTGTTTAATTGAACTAATACTTGAATATGTTCTTTTTTATAAAAGAGTCCTATAATACAGATTAAACAGAATTCATCCTTGATGACTCCCAAGGCCCAGTGTCCCTCTAGAGAAAACCATTTTTAACAGTCTGGGTGGGGGATATCCTCCCAGACCTTTTTCTGTTTATTTCTGAAAGATACCTTTTTGTGTCCGTACAAAGCAGACAGTTTTGTTCTGTTGTTTTCTGCGTGTTGTAAAATGAATGGCATCTGTTTGTAGGTAAGGCTCTGCCGTGTACATTTTTTTACGTAAAGGTGTGTCTTGGAGATCTTCTTGTCAGTAAATATAGATCTATTTTCTTTAATGGTGCGTAGTATTCCAAAATCTGGGATGCATTAAGCAGTCCCTAGAAAGGTACATTTAGATCTTTTCTGCATCCTTTGTGTGTGTGTGTGTGTGTGTGTGTGATTCCAGACAGTGGCGGGGAAGCTCCTGGAAATGCCGTCTTTGCCCCTCTGTGACCGTTTCCCTGTAGGGTATTTCTAGATTTTGTCATTGTTGGGTCTGAGCACACCACATTTTTTTATTTTATTAGACACGGCCACACTGCCCTCTAGAAAGCCTGTGCCCGTTAATACTCACAATAGCAGTAGGGACCAGGAGGGTCTTTCCCCCACACCCTCTGTCTCATAGAGTAGTATGATTTTCACCTTTGCCATTCTGAGAGGCGAAAAATGGTGTCTCTTGCCATTTTAATTTGCCAATTACCGGTGAGCTTTTGAACTTTACATTGGTCTTTTGTTCCTCTTCTAAGACCTTTGCCCAGAGCCATTACTCATCTTTCTATGGGTTATTTGTCTTTTTTTGTATTGATTTGTTGAAGCTTTTTATATCACCTGCCCTTAAACACCCCCCCCCAACACCCCAGCTCTGGGAACGGCCTGTGGACAGAGCAGGAGGAGGGGGGCCGAGCCCTCCCGGGAACTCGGGTTTTCTTCGGAATGTTTTAATGAGGCGTCAAGCGGCCTCCCCCAGATTCCTGTTGTGGGCCTTCTGGGGACACTCCCTGGTCCAGCCACCACACCAGGAAGGCAGCTCTTTCAGAGGGAGAGTCCCTAGGAAAAAGAAAGGGTGGGGTGAGGGTTTTGCAGACCCCAGAAATTGTCTGCAAAATGCAGTGTGACTGGGAGAGAGTGCAGAGTTTCGCTCAGATTCGCAAAGACGTCGGAAACCTCCAAACCCTAAAGAACCCCAACTCTGGGACCAGCCTTGTGCGGCGGTGAGACCTGGTGGGATCCTATTCTGCTGACCAGGCATACGGTTAGGTTAGGCCATACTATCCTTCCGGGCCTTGGTCCTGCAGGCCAGGTAGAGGCTGCCTGTGAAGATCCACCGGGTCCAGCAGCCAGCTCCACCATCCCAGGCTCCATCCCACCGCCTGCCCTGAAGGCGTCCACGCTGGCCAGGATGAGAGGCGTCACGGTGCCTCCCCCCCCCCCGCCCCAGCCCCTCCCGGCCCTGAACACAGGCAGCCTGTTCAGGAAGGCCTGGAGAGGGGGAGGAAAAGTCAGCACTTGTCAGCGGTGGCGGGGCAGGAGTGTCCCCGGCAGGGAGCCCGTCCCAGCCTGCTCGGGCCAGCCGGACAGACGGAGGGCAGCAAGGGGCGGGGAGCAGTCCCTAGCCA